CGAAGCAGATCCAGCCAGATTTGTTCAGATTAAATTGGAGATTCCATAAGGACGGCCAAGCAGTCATTTTATCTAATTCCTTCTGCACTACATTCTCGAAGTACCCTAAGTCATCACATTGGAATGTATGAGCTACTTTTAGGTCATCTGCAAAGATGGGTGGTTTCCCGTGCGTGAAGCAAGCGCATATGTCATTGATGTATAGTGTAAATAGTAGGGGTCCAATGACACTACCTTGTACTACACCAGAAGTGATAGGGCTAGGTTTGGAGGTTGCAGACCCGGGTTTAACTATTTGGGACCTATTGTTAAGGAATGATTTAAGCCATCCTAATAATGGGTCACGTATTCCTAAGGAGTTCAGCTTATTTGTTAGCAGTAAATGGTCGACACGGTCAAATGACTGAGAAATGTCAAAGTAGATGACAAGTACTAGTTTCCGTCTGTCACGACTGGTGGTTACAAAATTGAAGAAGTCTAGGTGACATGTTAAACATGATCTGGATTTCAGGAATCCATGTTGGTTCGGACTAATAATATTGCAGCTAAGCATATTTTTGACTAAGTTATCTTTAAGTAGTCTCTCCATGATTCTAGATGCTATAGGTGTGATATTGATCGATCGGTAGTTACTGACTTCATTTTTCGAGCCAGATTTGTGTTTAGGCATAATGAATGTTGTCTTCCATATGTCAGGGCAAGTTTGAGTTTCTAGGGACATTGTGAATATTTTAAGCAGCAGTAGAGGAATGTCAGGGCCACCATATTTATAGAAGTAAGATGATATACCGTCGGTACCGAAACCTTTTGAATTTTTGAGGGTTTTTATAGTTTGGTTAATATTAGCGTAAGTGAATTCAACAGTGCTGATTTGGTTTGGTGTGAGTGGAGATAGAGTTTGTGCCATATTAGTAACAGGGTGTATATCGAGTAGCTGGACTGAGGGCTTAATGTAGTTACCTGCAAACGTTTTGTTGAGTAGTTCACATATGTCTGCAGAGTCAGTGCATAGCCTACCCGTTGTTTATGAGGAGAGAGATGCTGTGATTTTTGCGGTTCATTCGCTTCCTTAGGATTTCTGTGAGTGCATCCACTCTAGGAGAACTGGCTACTGCGATGCGTTTTTCGTTTATCATACAGCAATCTCGAGCTTGTGAGATGGAGCTAAGGGTGTTAAGTATTAGACCTAGGGTGCCAAAGTCGTGGTGATTGAAGTACCTTGTTTAGAGTTTCTTCAGATTCGTAATAATAATAATGTATTTCATATGATTTTACAAATTTACATGAACATGCATGCCTTTTTTACAGACACGATCAAGTATGATTAGTCTCAAATCGTAGATTGTCTGCAAATTAATAATATTTCAACTGTTAAATATTTGATACATATAGTACACTCACTTCCTGAACTAGGCCGTATAGTTATTGAATTGTACGGTTGTCCTCCAGGTTGAGCGGGAAAATCGATTTCGTTTCGTTTTCATCCCGTGGTTGTAGGCATACGATAACCAACCAATATTGAGGTAAGTACAACTTTTACAAGGGATAGAAAGCTGTTTTAGAAACGTTAAAGTGCTGAGGTGAATCATTAAATTGTAATGAAATAGGTAAGTGCAAGTATCATTAATAAATGCATTAATAAAGGAAACTCCCTGGGCTGACAACCTTCATTTGCTATGTATTATGCTACACGTATAGCTCGTACAATCATGATGTCCACTTTTGATTTTAATACATTTATCCTCATGCAAGTTATTTTATATTATACCTTTTTGTGCATTTAGTGCACAACCGTACCCTTCGGCGAATAGGAATAGAATAAGTCATAAAGAGCTATAAAATGTTAGGTTTAATGGAGTATATTGAGGATCAAGTGAAGACGTTATTAGAAAATGAATAGGACATTTTGAACTGGTATTTAAAGATCCGACAATGGATGGCAAGTTAATTCATAAGATGCCCCATAAATCTGTGCACAGCCCACATGGTTGCATCTCAACAATAGGCTGAGTGAATGGTATATATTTAAAGGCAGAAGCATGATCTGTCAAGGCGTTCATTATTATCTTTTTCAAGATAAAGATCTAAGCCCTCATAGGAATCAGAAATATCTCGGGCCGTCAAATTGCGTATTGCAGTTCCTGCAGAATGGGGCGATTCACCCTAGTGACCGCCACCATATCTACTGATCAGCTAGCACCACCCTCCCTCGTACGATCCTATGGTTTTATGAATGAGTTTGGAGTGGAATAGCAGCATCTAAGCATGTGTTTGAGTTATGGTAGAAGATGGTTAGGGCTCTCGATAGGTCATCAGTAGTGAAGTATTCATCCCATTCGGAGGATCTTAGCATTGATTATACTAAGGTCCAGTTTGCCTTACCATAGTTCCTATATTTTACTTGTTGTGAAGTGGAGGTATGAGATGCATTACTACTCAGTGGAAGTGACAGTGTAAACATCACTGTTTTGTGGTCGCTCCCTGGAAACTCAGAACCTACTAGGGTTGAAAGGGGACTTATATTGTGGCAGAAGATTAAGTCTAGTACGTTATTACCTCTTGTGGGAGTAGTGACAGTTTGTTTCCAGCCAAGTATATCCAGTGTGCCTAAGAAATTATCAAATTTAGTTGGGCCTGTGGGTATATCCCACTTGATTTCAGGTAAGTTAAACTCCCCACATAGTATAGGCTGTGTCACGTGTAGATGAATTTTCTGTTCTCTGCCGTTGTTTCGAACTGAAAACGAATATGACAACACTTTTTATGTTGACTCTTCTTCAGCCTATAGCACATGGTCTTGGAGTTAGGCATTTTCGTCTCACTAAGTAAGATACTCTGTACCTTTTTTAGTGCCTCATTGCCCAGAACGTTGTAGACAATATCATTCAGTTTTGCGTCGAGTCGTTTTGTTACTTCTGTGGTAAAAACTTAACGGGGTTATCTACCTTAGTTACGATTCTGTGTCAAGTTTGTTAAGGTTTACAGTTTTCATGAGGATAGTTAGAGGTGTCAGTTCACAGACCTGCGATCTGATATTGCTGATCTGATCTGATAATTTGGATATCTCGGTATTGGTTTCAATATTCCAGCATTTACTGACTTATTGTTTTTTATTTCCCTTAACTCAGCCTTAAGTTCTCCTATAGACAACTTTAGAAGTTCTATTTCTGAAGATAGTACTGAAAAAGAGCTTGATGGCTGGAGTTTCTCGATAAGCACATAAGGGGAAGGGAGGAGTTCTGTATGAGCAGATGGTACTGAATTTTTAGGAGTAGTGCTAATACTAGCTGTCAGTTCCGTTTTATCCTCAGTTTCAGCTCGACGCTTACGGCATACAAGTGAGTTATGTGACTCACTATAGCCGTTTGTAGGGGGTGTTGCTTGATGTAGCAATCAAGGACGTTAAATTAGTCACCAGTTTTACAGGAGATTGTGTTCGCTGCTTTTTACTTCCATTAACCACAACTATTAGTAATGAGAGTTGATGGTTACAGGTATGGAAGTAGTAAAGTACTTGTGCAAGTTTTACAACAGGATACATTTTGTGTAACGAATAACGCAAAAATGTAACGCAAACGTCGGACGCGCCGCGAGCAAGTTGTTAATCATCTGCAGCTTATCAAGTTATCAACTGCAAAACTGAAATCAATCAGGGGTTAAAAATAACATCATGTCATTTTCACTAATGAATTTTTTGTTCACTTTCATTTTTTGAATGATACACTATGTGAACTTATTACATGTCAGATATTAACCAGCACATGTATTTATTGCCAGGAATGTCAACCAAGATCTATTGACTTCATAGGTGTTTTGGTTATTATGTGGGCCTGTAAAACATTTTCAGCCACTGTGAAGTATGTTTTCAACCTCTTAGGTTCATAAATAAGAAAACCGGTTGTAGGTCTTCGGGTTAGGATTCACTCAAAACCCTTCTTCCAAGCTAATAAAGTTTAAATGAAAGATAATCAAGTCTTAAATAATGTTAGCAGTAGCTTGAAAAAATTTAATTTCCTCACTTCACAGCTAATTGACACGAGTTTCAGTCATAGAGGGGATGGGAATGTTTACGATAGTTAGATCAATAAGTAGGTGACATAAGTACGGAGTAGGAGGTGTTGCTTTAGAACTAAAAGGTTACTAGGTTTCAGCGATAGCAGACCTCGCATCTAGTAATAATATACAAAAGATTACTTCTGAAGGAAGATAGATATTAGGCATAAACTGGGTAAGGTGGAATGAAAGTGGCAAGTAAAACTGGTTTAATCTCTTGTTTGTATTGAAAGCCAGTAGATTCAGAATTAAATTTTTGCAGTTTTGAAGAAATCCCTTTGGTTTAGAATCGGTAAGATTAGTCCACATATTCCGTGATAGATTTGAAACACTGTAGAACTTCCAATTTATTTTTCGCAGCTCGTCTTCTGCAAAATGCAGATATGACACAAATGCCTGTCCGATCCATCCATTACAACCAACTGAAAAGACTATATCTGCAAACTTTATACCTCTTTGATTAAGTTACCTGGTAATATTCTTTTTGTTGATATATCCAGTTCATATCACATCTGTAAAATTTATACATGTGTTAACTTTTCTCATTAAGCCAAAAAATGTAAGGTTCATGCGATTTTTATTATTATCATTTCAAAGCCTGCCCCAGTTACGTGTGCTACGTATTAGCCGCAGGGTTTACGCAAAGGAAAATCTACCAATCACAATATGCATAAGTGCCCTTGAAGTGCTCAGCCTTTCCAAAAGCCATATGTGTCACTATCTACTGCCGCACCATCCTCTTCAAAATCAGCCAAGGCTACGGCAATTGAATGGTAATACACACTAAGCGGAGGTTTAATTTACAAACAAAAGGCGAGCGCAGGAGAATGAATTTAGTTTTCACTGGTTCAGTGATATAATAACGTACGTTGAATATTGACCATCACTACTATTAGAAGGTGGCATTTTGACTGTGCCTTCTGTTTTCGCGTTACTCTCTAAGTATAATGGATTGGTTCAAAGTCCTTTATGTGGCTGCAATTGTTTTAATTTTTCAAAGCTGTGTAACTGCTTGTGTTACGAATGAGAAAGAACACCGAAAATTGATCCTCCGTTTAAAAAGTAACTGGAACACACATTTGGCTCTACTTTCTAATATAACGCTTTTTTATTTAAGCAAGCGATTATATCGAATCGGTTATGCTTTTAACAGATCGCGGTTGTTTCGTTAAGAAAGACCCATATTCACATCGGTCACAATTGATCGGACATGGTGGCAGTATTCTTGATCCCCATACAGTGAGTTCAGCGGATTTTAATAGTAATCACCAGTTTATTCCAAATAACGACAATAGCGACGAATATTTTTGCGATTTTTTGGCAACGTTCTGGCTCCATTTATGTATATAAATAGGGTAAAACACCAATAAAATTTTAAAAATCTGAAAGTTAGTGGAACATAAATAATTACAAATAAAAGATATGACAGAAAATATGTGCAAAAACATCTACCACACATTATAATTTAAAAGGTTTATAATTTCTTTTGTGACATTTAACCTACCACACACAACCCGTGCTTAATGTGGTATAGTCATATTTTTATATTTTTCTGTACGAGCATAAATTCTAATGAAGTTTTCTTATATTTTTTCCGGAAAATATACAAAAGAAAGTAGTTAATGAAGAGTGTGTTTGGCATCAGCCAGTACAACTTCAACCAACTACTTACGAGAATCAAAATGTCTATCAAAAATAATGTCTATTAGTTGAGTCAGAGGCACATCACTAACCTCACTTTGAAGCTTCAGTGTTCTACGTAATATGACAGTCAGTTTTGAGAAGTCCGTTTTACTAACTGACGAAAAATGTGATAATGGATACTTAAAGTGATTCAATTAGTAAATGACAAAGCTACTAAATAAAATAGTTTATACGATGGTGAAAACTGGTATGTTATTCAAATGAATAATTCTGTTCCACTTGTCTCTGATGTAGCTAAATGAATCTACACTTATTACACAGGTTGCTCACTGCCATCAGTCTATGGAAATTCCACTATAATCTCATTATTAAGATGTAATCACTGGTTTGAATTTAAATGCGGTATTGAATTATTTGTTGTAATATATCTTCTAACTTCGATTTCTGGAGAGTCCAATCCTTACAATAAAATGGAGGAAATTAGGCCTCAGTTTTAAGGGCTAGCTTTTTACTAGCATAGAGTTACAGATTTCAGTTTAATCAGTTTCGACACTAAGTCTTGCATTCCATCATAAAAAAGGAAAAGTTAAATGAGTAATTTGATATGATTATGAGCAATAGTTTGCGCTCGAAACGTCATCAGTTAATATTATTGTTTAACACTTTGTGATTTATCAAAGTAAAATCTTATCCATAATGGAGTTATGTTTTGCGCATTTAGTGTTCATGAAACTTACTAATTCATCGCTAGTATAATTAATTTCTTCTTTTCTTTGTCTTCCAGTGCTCAGTAATGAATTGCTGATATAGGAAAGTATTTATATATTTGTTTCTCCATTTTGTTTTTTTTCTCGGGTTAATTTGAAAAAGTGTAAAATAAGGAACTCTCATTTTTCTGTATTTCCTGTAGTGGTGCGGATTTTGTAAATTCAAGATGATAAACTTTGAGAATTAGAGAATTTCCACGTGATTGCTGTTTATCCTTTGGATGGTTAAGTTGCTAAGGTGTCACTGTTTTGTTAAGCAAAACTTTAGCCCAAACCTAAATAAGAAGTAAAGTTATTCGAATTCTGCATGGATGATATAATTGTATCTCCCGATAACTTTAAATATGGTCAGTTGTTAGTTTGCATCAGGAGGTCAGGACTTCGGGGATTGCTTATATCCAATATAATGTAAACCTGAAAATCTACAGGTTAAAACCAAAAGGGTGGCAGAAAATCAGCTAAGGCGTGTTTTCAAGTGAACACAGGGCAGATCGAGTTAATGAAGACACCAAACCAACAATAACAAGCACCAAGCATCACCATTGTCGGAAGATTAAAGTAATTATTTCTTTCGTTGACTTAGGCAGCATTGCTTCAACTACATAATGTCGAAGGCACAATTGGGAAAGAAAGTTAGAACTTTATTTATCTGAAATCAGGGTGGAAATCTGCCACATTACGACTAAGGAAAAAGATATGGATTTCATACGGACCTTCATCAACAGCCACCATCACCTAATAATGAAAACCTGACTGCCATAAAGAACAAGAAACGACGAACTCTGGCATTAAACCATCTGTAAACCTTTCGACCAGGAATGAAGTGTAAATGAACTTAGCACACCCTGAGGAGGCCATTGAGTGACCTCATGCACCAGACTTTCAAGCACAACTAGAATGAGGAAGCGCAATTTTGGTGTCCGATGATGGATGGGTGAAGACCTTGGAAACAGGAGATAGAACTTTACTCTCACTTGTTGATCCAACTGAAAACAACTTTAAAAAACGACTCTAAACGGAGGCAGGCTGTTGTCGCCTACGATCCAGTTGAAATCCAAAGGAATTAAAATACTAGTGATGATCATTTTTACTAACTTTTAATTCAGCGTTTTTGCAAACTAGATTATTTTGTATTAGTTGATAAAAAAGGTCCAAAATAATTGGTCTGTTAATAACTGATTCATGTGCGTACTTGCATTCCAGTTATCTCTCGGCATTTTCAGTGATGTCACTTTGTAAAATTTCTACATTTTTCAGAAATATTAGTATCCATAGTTGTCTACCCGCATGGATATGAAAGAATACACATTTGGTCTTCTGATAGCTAGTTTCTGCTTTTGAACTCGTAGTCAAGGAGGGAGCTTGATTTGGCTAACAAATGCTTATCAAATTTCATGCAATTTATTTTACAAATGGCGTTGATCTTTCTCCTTTTTGATACCAGGTGTAATGACTTGCATACTGGTGAATAAAGTAATTATGTTGGTTTATGTGTGATTCCCAATTCAGAGGCATTTTATATACATATGACAGGATGAATTTATTGTGATTTCTGGTGGTTGTTTCTTGTTGAGTGTTTAACTTGACTTTAGACTTTTTTTAGAGAAATTGTAGCAGTATCCATTTTTATTCAGAAGAGTTAATAAATGTTTCACCATTATTCTGCTTAAAACTGGAAAACTGCAGTGTATTTCAGCTCTTTGTACACAGTCTCTTTTGTACGCTGTTGGATTATTGCTGCTGTAGTTGAGTATTTGGTCAGTGTATGCTAATTTCCTGCACCTTTATATTTCAAGATTTCTTGGGTTCGTTTTTTCGACTAAGACATATGAAACTGAAATTTTGTCGTCTGATTCTTTTTTCTTTCTGAATCCGTTGACTCCAAACTCGTCGTTGGTTAATTTGTGGGTGTGTTCTAAATCATTTCTTTTGTGTACTTAGCGTATCCAGATCTTTGGTTTGATTAATAGTAGAGATACCTTTTTCCAGTCTCTGCATAACGGCCTCAGTGATTAGTCTTGATTTAGGTGATCCCATTGGCGTTCTTTTTATCTGTCCATCCACTTGGCTGCTGAGTAGAAAATGTGTTGTAAGACACAAATGTATTGGCTCCATCGAGCTTAAACGTCGGATATTTTTGTATTCAACGCTACAGAATAGCTGTTGCGTAGTTTCTTCTGTCAGGTATTTCCAACAGAATTGTGCAGTGCTATGACATCAAAGGATACCATGATGTTTATGTCATGCAGTAAAATGTTTCTTAGTTTTCTAAAATTTTAGGTTACCAAATTAATAGAATAGCTGCACGATTCTATTAAATATTTTAGTTTTTAGAGACGTTTTTTGGATAGATTATATGCTACTTTTTGAATCTGCAGTGAGATATATGGATGAAGTGAAATTTTTTAAACACATGGTAGTTAAAATGGAATAAAAGACAAAAGGAAAGTGAGTTTTCCAAACCTCTAACGGGAAAACATATATTCTGCATGGTTTTGAATGGTTTGTCTTGAAGTACCGGTAATAGTTTTCAGACCATAGTAACACTCATCTTCCCACTTAATGGTCAAGTAAGTTTAATAAACAATGATAAATGAAGTTAAGATATTATGACTCATTTATTCATTCTTTTATAATATTATGATGCAGACGTACTCCTGTACTTCTTTCCTAATTTAATGTGTACTCCAAATATTTATCATTTAATTTCTCATGATTTAGCATGCTGTTATCCTGGATTATTTAAGCCTTAGCCTCACTGGTGGTGCGCGCGCTTTAGTTTTAGAGTCAGGCAGTGGATATCTCTCAGCATGTTTATCGCTTATGGTAAGTCTGTTGTTATTTCTTATCTTTTTGTTGGATGTATTAACCAATTTCAGAATTTCATTGAATCAAAGTTTCACATGTATTAGCGCTAATCAGAAGACTAATAAATGTAAACCTTGCGAAATGTAATTAAATCGATTGTTGTACACTTATTACTACAATATCTGTGCATAAAGATGATTGTGGATTGATTTGGAACATCAGATATAATGTGTTACAATGCCACCCCACTTAGTATTATGAAAAAATCCCAAAATAATCAATAGTGATACATTAATGCCACAACAGCAAACAGTCGTTGTTTCGTAGTTAAATTTTGTTCGTTTCTAAATGTTATCGTGAATAACTCTTCCTTTCTCCAGTTTGTTGTGTTCTTACGATGAGGTATTGGGAAAGTTTCAAAGAAGATGTGTACACCTGTCATAAATTTTAACCTAATAATATCATTATCGTCTTTTGTTTGACTATCATTGGTTTGTTTCGTTCATTTACCAACAGAATTTTGTGATTAAGGAACTCAACAGACATTCGGACGTATTATGAAATTTAGTTGTCGGAAATTTGATGGGTAACGTAAGCGAATGGTAATTAGTTTTCAAGTTTCCTACAAGCCCGTATGTGAAACATTCAGCTTAAGCCTAACTTATGCCAAGTGTTCATGAAACAGTTCAGAAGATATCACTATGACATCTTTACTTGGGCTCAAAACTTGAAAGACTTTTGAACAGTTTAGATGACAGGAAGCTTATTGAAAACATTTCATAACAGTTGTTTTCGAATAAGCAAGCAGCCATCAAAGTAGGGTCAAAAAGTTTTTAATGAAATTCATATTTATGAATTTCTGAAACTAATGTAGAAATGAATATCGTATGAACCAAGGAACACTAGAAGATATCAGGTAGGCTTCATTTTGTGTAGTGCAAAAACATCAGTACTTGTTACAAGCCATACATTTTCTGTTTAACCCCTGGCATTTGTTGAATGAAACAACCTTAGGACCCCATTGAAGGTCTTTAACCAAATATTTAAATTATGATAGATGTTACAAATAGTTTGACCAAGGATTGATGCCAGCTGGAGAGAATCATTGAAAACCATGGGATACTGGGTTCAGTTTAAGACTCTTCGTCCTAACCCACGCATGATCCCAAGGGCAGTTGCAACCAGGACTTCCAGACTGGGAAATTAACCGAGATACCTCTCAGCCAATTGGTGGTGATCTAATGACCTATCTATTTTAACTTCTATCTGTTTACCATATATGGTGTCACTGCCAGTCAATTTCATTATTGAGTATTTGCTTTCATACTGTATTTAGTGGATCCCTTCGTCACGACTAGAATGAAATAACCGTCCAGTGCTAAGTGGTTTTCAATAGCTCTCCAAATAATATCAGTCCATAATGAAAACTTTTACATATCCTGGTCAGCTATAGTACTAATTGGATTGCTATAATTTTACTGTAATGATGGATATGTGTACGGATAGGTAGAAACAACTTCACTGAGCTTTAGCGTGCTGAAAAACGAACACCGAAAAAATGACTGATGGGGACAAAACAATCATGAAGAACTCAGGAAATTGCAGCGTATTATGTTTAGCTAGAGGTGCTAATGTTAATGAAATTATTAGTGCTTTTTTTCCAATACAACAAACATCTAATACCAACATTTCACAGTGAACAATAATGGCCTGCCACCTAGCATGGTGGCTACATTGCAAGCTTGACTGGTAGAATTCAGTCTGCACCGAAGATAGGACTAGATACATTACACTAGCTACTGACTAGTGTGCAATTAAAAAAACTCTGTGTTTATTGTTTCTGTAAATCTGTTATTGTCAGATACATGAAGGATTTGCCCCATATAGCCTTTTAATTAGGTAAAATATCCCTGATTTTGTAGAACTCATGAAAAATCTAATGTTAAGACATTAATTGTTCTAGTAAGAAGTCATGTCCAGTGAGACACAGTAGTTTGAGTGAGAGGATAAACACTCGGCAATGACACAACCTAGCGATCGCGCTATATTGTGAATTGGCAGTATTTGGAATTCATAAGCCAATGGATCAGGTCACAGAAGCTTGACAGTCTACGAGTTCGCCTTGTAACTTGAGGGTCCTGGATTCGAAGCCCTATGGGTGAGTGCTACTGAAGAGTACAAAACTCAAACGAAAAAGCTGTTCAGTACTCCCAGCAGACTTTGGAATGTTTCTCTAATCGATGTCAGTTCATGATGAAATCCTGCAATCAATCAAATCCCCGCAGACCAACACTTGAATATTAATTGTTCTGTTGTTCGTATTCGCGAATATTTACACCCTAAGAGCATATAGTTGCTGTTGTGTTCATGATCAATTTTAATGTTAAATGAACTAAGTGAATACATTTTACTTCTTTTCAGTTATTCCTGCGTCGATATCATTAAGCTAAAAACACATGTGGTAGGCTTGTAATGCACCTACTGCTGTTTTAAGTTTTTGTTCCAAAAGGTATATATGCCCACCTACTCGAACGTCATTTATTTGAATCTTTTCCTAATGCTCTTGACACGTAAATTCTCTGAGTCAGTAGTTCAGCTATACTAGCTAGATTAGTCCCAATATTTTTCAATAAACAATCTTGACTTTTTTAATTCATTCAGCTTTCCTGCTCATCAGAGCCCATTACTAATTAACCAAGTCTTTTTGATTTGCCTTTTGTTGTCAGTACTTACATGTTAGTCAGAGAATTGATATATTGGACAATTAGGTGAACTATGTTTAGTGAGAGCTGGTATAGTTCAGCTAACCAATAACACCTATCAATACCTTACACGTGAGAATTTCGTAGTGATGCAAGTTGCTCTTATCTAGGGAAAAGAAAAAAGTCTTTGAGACAGGATATGAGAGTGTTAAAGGCAATAAATCTGAGCCAAGTACATATGCAATATAAAGTATGTGATATATGGGACAATCTACAATTTCAAACTTTTCGTTTTCTTTACTTTTAAAAGACTGGTCGTAATGGTGTCACTATATCCGTTCCTCCGAACCCTCAGTTATTAGCATTGGCTAAGGAGAATATTCAAAGCTGGTTAATATACGAGAAAACAGTTAAGACTTTAGGCATAAAGCTGGGGGAACAAATTAAATTTATGAGCAGGAATGATCCACGGACTTGGTTATCAAGTGGGCCATATAACGGCATCTTTGTTCACAATATGGGAGGAGCACGTTCTGTGTCTGAAGTAAGTCTTGACATATTTTACTATTTTCGTTCCTTGTAAATATGTTTTACTTTTGGCTATAAAGGTGGGGGGAGGGCGTTTTAAGTAAGAATGCTGTAGTTTCTCTAGTCTACAGAATACAGATGTTCATTGGTCACTAAAGATTTTCTTGTATCAGTACTGCCTATACATTATTATCATATTATATGATCACATATTTTTGACTGGCTATGATCAGAAAACACAGTCTTTTAAAACAACTGACTGTCGTGACACTTACTTAATCATTCTACACTTCATGTATCATATCTATCAATAGAAAAGATTGGGATATTTTTCTTCTTTTGTTTGAATGAAAATTAGTCACACCACACCAGTAATTAATTATAAAGACATATGTATCAAGCAAGCATTCTGTCAGCTTGTTGCAAGTTGTGCCTATCATATCATAGTTTGTGACCAAGAAAAGTAATTTCTGTAAAACTATTATATCTGGCTTTCCGGTTTGAATTCGGCTTTGTTGGAAAACAAATTCATTCAACATACACCTTAAAAGAATTAAAAATGTATTTATGTCAAATGCAAATGGGTTGGTATAATAAAACTTTCCCATTTTGAATTTGAATATCATGTATCTTCATCCCAGTAGACAGTAAAATATGTTGAGTATTGGTATTGTCAGAGAACCTATTGTGTGGTTTTCTACATAAGGATCAAAATGATGTATAGAGGAGTAGAAACAACTTCATCCCTACTAAAGAAGAACATATTCGTGATTAACTATGACTATTACTAATACGGCCTCTAGCGGTTATAATTAAGGGTTAGCATCAAACAGTAAGCTATTAATTGACTGAGATGAATAGTTGTTTATCATATACACCAACCTGTAGTACTTGCTAGAGAGGTGGAGATGATCTGATCACCAGACGGTCGTTTCACTTGTTCGGGGCTGAGATCATCAGTGGTGTAACCGGTTCGACTTAGCTGAAACAGGTGAATCACTTCAAATCACTGGATTTCACGCTAAGTACTCGAGCTGACTGGTACCACCATGAATAAAATTCATTGTTTGCAAATTAATTTGCAATTTCGAATTTACGCAGTTCGATGAAGTGAAATGTCACCACAGTTTACTCTATGAACATAATTATTTGGATAAAGCCGTTTACACCGCTGATGAGATTGGCCCAAAACAAGTGAAATGACTATCAGGTGTATAGTTCAACTCCGTCCTGCTGTAACAACAGAAGACAAGGGCCGGCAACAGGTCGTTTTATTACGGAAATCAGCACATATTTATATATATTTCATGTACATTATTATAGCTTATTCAAGCAGACAAACACGGTCTTCTGATTGGTTGTTTCTGGTTTCTCGGAAAGTTAAGCCATATATTTGCGAATCTTATTCGCCCACGTTAAGTCTGATGTGATTGGTTGTTGAAACAGCCTTGTTCATATTTTCTCACGGCCAATATTAGTGACCTAGACATTGACGTAAATTAACGTCTGCATTGCAAGCATAAAGGAAAAAGCCGAGATACAAATCAACACCAGCGAAAAGGTCAGCGTCGAAAAGCACTGGAACAACTTGAAAACGGTGTGGAGCCAAACCTGCATAGAAATTCTAGGCAGAAAAAGAGACAGGACAAACAGTGGCTCACTACGGACACTTGGAAACTAATAGAAGAGAGAAGGACAGTGAAGCAAAAGATTATCCAGTGCACTGACGAGCAACAAAAACAGGAGCTGAATGCAAGCTACAATACACTGAACAAAAGAGTGAAGAAGAGTGCCAGGGAAGACAAAAAAAATATTATGGAACCATGGAAAGTAAAGCGGAACAAGCTGCAGGCAAAGGAGACCTCTCCACACTCTACCAAACAACTAGGCACCTTTCGGGTAAAAGTTCGACACAGATTAAGCCAATAAAGGACGACAATGGAAAGTCAATCACCAAAGAGGTGGAACAGAGAAAGCACTGGGTGAACACTTCAAAAGACTTCTAAATCGTCCGCCACGTACAACGCCCCAACAATACCAACAACGGAAGCAGAACTACCAGTGAACACTGACCCCCGACGAAATCAGAAGTCCTGAATGCCATCAAGATGCTAAAAGCGAAAGCACCAGGACCAGATGGAATCCCAGCAGAAGCATTGAAAAGACCCAGAGACAACAGCGGACTTGATGACGCCACTGCTGGAGAAGGTGTGGAAAGAGGGTAAAGAACCCGAGGATTGGAAGAACGGATACTTATTCAAACTACCAAAGAAAGGAGACTTAAGTCAATGTAAAAACTGGCGTGGAATTATGCTTCTGTCCATTCCAAGCAAGATACTAATTCGCATCATCCTGGAGAGAATCAAACAAGCCCTAGATGAAAAGCTTCGACCGGAACAGGCCGATTCAGGAGAAACAAATCATGTATTGATCAAATCGCCACTCTACGGATCATCATTGAACAAAGCTTGGAATGGCAGTCACCTCTCTATCTCAACTTCATCGACTTTGAAAAGGCCTTCGACAGCGTCGATCGAGAGGTCATTTGCAACTACTTCGCTACTAGGGGTCCATCGACAATTATACATCTCATCCAACAGTTATACGACAATGCTGCATGCCAAGTAATCCACAACGGGAAACTTATGGAAGCCTTCGAAGTGAGACGGGAGTGAGGCAAGGCTGTCTACTACCACCAATGATCTTCCTGATTGCAATTGATTGGATAATGCGACAGACAACGGCAACCAACGAGGGAACAGGCATAAAATGGACTGACACAAAAGACTTGGAGGATCTGGATTTCGCCGATGATATATGTCTGATTTCCCACAAACTGGAAGATATGCAAGTGAAAAGTAACAAGTTGGCAGAAGAAGCATCAAAGATAGGACTTCAAGTGAACATAGATAAAACAGAGGTGATGAAGATTCCTAGCCAACATCAACAGCAACAACAACAACAGACAACAATCAGCATAAGTGGGAAGAACCTGAAAGAAACAGCCTCCTTCACCTACCTGGGAAGCATCGTCTCAACTACAGGCGGAACTGACGAGGATATCAAAGCCAGAATCGGAAAAGCAAGACAAGCTTTCATTACTCTCAAATCTGTGTGGAGGTCAACAGCACTCAGCATCAAAAATAAGATCCGGATTTTCAACTGCAATGTAAAGTCAGTGCTACTATACGGATCAGAGACTTGGCGAGTCATAAAGAGCACCTCAAACAAACTCCAAACCTTCATTAACAGCTGTCTTTGCTCAATACTCAAGATCAGATGGCCAGAAAAGATCAGCAACAGGGATCTCTGGGAGCGAACCAATCAGGAACTGATTGTGAAACAAATAGGCAGGAAGAAATAAAGATGGATTGGCCATACTCTGAGCAAACCATCAAGTGACATCACTAGACAAGCGCTCAAGTGGAACCCGAAAGGGAGGCGGCGAGTTGGTCGTTCAAGGGTGACTTGGAGGAGGTCATGCGAGGAGGAGATGAAAGCATGTGGACAGACCTGGAGCAGGGTGAAAAAGTTGTCAGAAAACCGAAGGCAATGGAGGTGCGCAGCTGAAGCCCTATGTTCCTTTAGGAACTAAAGGATACAATAATTATAATAATAATGTCTACCGATTGGCTAGCAGTCTGCTCTCACCACACTGCCAACACTCACTACTGATTGATGCGTGTGGTATATACCTACTCATTTCAGTCAGTCAGTAGTATATCGTCTCTTGCAGTTATGTTAGCTTTCTTTGATATCAGAATAGAACTTAGGCACATACTGTGATGTGAAAGATTTGCTTTCTCAAGCAAATTCTGGTGAAGTTTCACCTTTTCGAACCGTCTAAACTGCGAACTGCGAATTGATTTCGAAATTATGAACTTGATTAAGGATTGAAATCTGCTTCTATGATGAATGTGAAAAGTAATTTGATTATGTAAATTAAAATCAGAGAGAACTTGATGTGGTCTCTTCGGGTGAGTTTTTTGTTTTGTTTTAAGTGAATATTTAAAGCAAGAAATAAAGGTTAATAAAGCAGGATTTAATGATGGATTCATCGAATTTCGGTAGAACTCGTCAGCTGAATAATCTACATACACGGATATATATACTTTTGAAATTACATTGGGAGATATTAGACTGATAAGTAAACAAACTACATTGAATTAGTCATGCAGAAAGACACATGCGAATGTTTTCCAGCTCATGTTCAAATAGATAAGGGGAGAGAGAGTATGTAAGATCAAAATTAAGATAAATTGCATTACGCCTCAATTACATCACTTAGATAAACAATTAGTCATTAGGGAATATAACGAGAATTGCAAACAGACTAATATCAATGGTAATAGTTATAATAACAATTTTAATAGTGTTGAAGTGAGTAAAGATAATCCTACTGATAAAGGATAGTTTTAAATGAATCAAAAATATTAATAAGGGGTAGAATAATAAGTCAAACGTATTACCATGGTAGATTCAGAGTGACGACCATCTCCTTTTGTACACAGAAACCTGGTTTATTAACTCAAATTGCACAAGTCTGTGTAATTGCAAGCAACTTCTTGTTTCTTTGTCTGCTGACAACAGTGAATGACTTGACTGGGTCGATATCATGTCCATAATCCACAAGATGTTTTGTTATTGAGGATTTTGGCACTTTGCAGTCAGCTGTTTCCAACCATTTCGGCTAATGCTCCATCATGCGAGTAGATAGTCGCCTTTACGCATGACCTATGTATTTGTTTCCACAAACACACACAAACTGATATACTCAGTTTGAAGTGTCGAGGGTTGACGGCTGGTATTTCGCAGATTGCTGAAGCACTCGCTTAGCGGTGTTAAGGATAACAAATTTTGCAGCATAATAAGTTCCCTTGATGGCTTTATCGAGTCTTCGTTTGACTACTTCCTATACATCATCTCCTTTGAACGGTAAACTGATATAGACAGATTTCTTTGGAACTGTTTGGATTGTTTTGCAGGGGCTTATTTCTTTAGAGTATTTATTAATGAACTTCTCAGGATATCCATTCTTAGATAAAATATCTTTCAGAGATTTTATTTCATGCTCAATAGTACTGTCAGAACAAATTTTTCGTGCTCTATTGAACAATGTTCTGACTAAGTTCTTTTTATACTTGATTGAAACAAAGCTCTTGAAATGCATGTACTGTCCTTGCGATGAAGACTTTCTTTATAGATCTTTGATTGTGCCATCATTCATTTTCGCTAGAAAAACATCTAGGAATTTAATAGTATCGCTTTCCTCATGTTCTACTGTGAAACTGAGATTTGGATTGCATGAGTTGAATTTTATCAACATGTCTTCGGTTTTTGATCTGCTTCCACAGACAATAAAAGTGTCATCAAAATATCTTAGGTATACATCCGTTTCTTGTATATATTGCTGCAAGGCACCAGTTTTTAGGTCTGACGAGAATAAGTCTGCAAAAAGTGGTCCAAAAGGGTTTCCCATTGCGACTCCATCAACTTGACAGAATAGACGCCCATGAATATATAAAGGACAGATCATTGTGTACATAAATATCTCTGTGGATGTTAGCCAGTGTTGTTGCCTAGTTGCACGTGTGATGATCATGACACACTGAGAAGAAAAATTTATACAATCTGATGAATTTGTCTTAAAATTTGATGTCAGTATGAGTATACTGACCGACAGCTTAGGACTTTGGATTTATTTATCCCTCTTCCTATATCGGATATGAAGGCGAAGGTGTAGGGAGGCTGTAAACTTTCGGTGATATTATAAATCATGTCTAATAATGAAGTAGACATATGACCTCAGCATTTTAAGTCAATCTGGTAATAATGTATTCATTATGTCTTCATAATGAGAACTAATGGGTTCAGATCTAACTTGTCAAAGTTTCGAAGAAATACCTGTTGTATTGCATTATTTTGTAGTTGTTTTTATGGTATACTCCCTATATAAGTCCAACTTTAAGTGATGCCGAGACGTGTGGAATTTAAAACTGACTAATTATTTATGTGAAATTCTATAATGATCTGTTTGTATTTATCACTTTAAGTTTTTACCTGTCACTGTAGATTTCTGTACTATCGGAAATCATTATAATATTTCGCTAAGTATCGCCTTTTTTCATATCCCTGTCTTAGCTTGCAGACAGGCTAGAAGTGGGCGGTCGCTGGTTGGCCTGGAAGGAAATATCGGGGGACAGCAAGAATTGTTTATGATAGAGCATTATCCAAGAGGTACTCTTCGACGGGTACCTATAATGACTTTCACAGGTGTTGCTTCACCTGACAGTCATAAACCAGTGACGCATAGGTAAGAATTGTTTATACGCATTTATACATCTGTTTGTATTTCAAATGAACTATATGCGTTAATCATAACAACATATTAGGTTGTTTAAAAACAATATGCGAATCATAATTTACACAATGATTCGTATGTTAGTTTCAAGTTAATGTGTCATTCTCTCTAGCAATAATTGTTTGCTGAATATATTTAGGATGAGGATAAACGAAACGATAAAGACAATGAATATAATCATAGCATTGGTGTTTTGCAAACCATGCTGTCTAGAAAATGACGAATTTTGGCAAAGAAACATTCACCTTTTACTAATTAAGTCCATTTCAATAACAGAGCGCTACAATATGTAACCTTTAAATTGGAATACATGAATTACATATTTAACGGTTATGAGTTTGTTTACAGGCATTTGTTAATGCCAATATGCAACTAGAGCTGATAACTGACCAATAAATTTAGTTTAAAAATGTAGTAATAGTTATCATACGAAAACCTGAGGTTAGCTTAATTACAATACGTCTTGTTTATAATGAACACAGAGCTGAAGGTCACAGGGCCTTCAGAGACATTTACTTTAAACTAATCAGTCTGACTTTCGATTTACCAGTGTGTCTTTCGCCTACAACAATGAAATATTAGAATCCAGCAGAAAATGTTAAATTGATGCGTTCAGAAGATACTCATCAGCCATTTTTTCAATCTTAGTCATTTTCATATCCATGCATTCCACCAACCCTGTTGTAATTACAAAATGTACTTTTATCAGAACTCTTATCAGTTAATCTGATTCGCTTTTGTTTACTTTACTGCAATGGATCTGCATAATTCAACCATATTAAAACTTGATTGACAGAATTCATTTTGAAACAAATGAGGAACTAGATTCACGGCATTAGTAAGCATCTATTGTCCAGTCAAAGTACGCATTACAGTCCAGAAGAAGGTTAGTCATGAGTCTTAATTGTCCAATGACAACATCTCTGACTGAATGACCGGAATCGAATCTAAGAATGGACATGAGTTCCTTCAACAGACTTCAGATACACCTTGATGACGAGTACCAGAAAGCACGAAACTAGGACCAACGCTTCCTCTGATTACACCCAACCATCTAACAACTAAACATGCGTCGGTGGCATAGCGGTTAGCACGCTCACCGACCATGCACATGGTCCGGTGTTTGATCCCCGACCGACGCACTCCTTTACCTCGCTAAGCCAATAATAATGTTGGTAAAGAGAGAAGGTTAGGCGTGAGGCCAGCAACCCATCCTGTTAAAAATAAATACTGCAACAGAAACTTCAAGCCTTCTAGCCTTAAGCCCTATGTTCCACTTGGAACGCGAAGAAAAAAAATCTAACAACCATCTAGAGTAGAATCTATTTGATCGGGGTATATCTGTCTCAAGTGGCTACTTTTCACAGTGTATAGAAATATCAACTTTTTTAGGCTTAGTTCCTCTAGGTACATCACTGATAAGCTCAAACCTAAACGACTGGAACGTCTGTCAGATACATCACTTGAAGTGAGTGATCGGAGCAACTTATATCACACATTATTTCACACTCTCAGTCTCCCCATTAGCATAAATTAAGTATGTATGGTATTCAAGTTTATTTGTCGAAAATTTCGAAGTTTTGCATTTAACATCAAGAATATGTCATCAGTCTCATTTAATGTTACTGTTTTTTTACTGCTATTTATTTACAGCACAATCATCTCGGACGACTTCCAGTTTGAATCAATACAAGTTAAATGTATTCCAAACAGTAGAGTACTCATATCACTTTGCATCACCATCATCTTGTTCATCTCGTTATTCTGACAATCAGATGTGTTCATTACTAAAACATTCTCATCATATGCACCCTTCACACAGTGAACATAATTAAGACTTGTCAAATTTATCTTATTTTCACTGAAAGAAATAAAAATGATGTTTTTTCTACAACGTAAACTGACTTCATTGATACTCAGTATTCTTTGTAGATTATTTATCGTTTCAGTGTTCATTCGAAACAACTTGATGTATATATTTAAACATTGATTTCATGTATTCTGTATTTCTTTTGTTGAAGATGTCTTACCCACAATAATGTCCTTTCAATCTCCTCTCAAATTGATGATAAAAATTTACTGTGTTTCAGCTTGCTTACGATTTTGTCAAATTTTTTGCATCCTGTAATCTCAGCTGATATACTTGCATGAATACAGAAACAAAATAAGCAATAGACATACTTCAACTAATTAAGTCTTATGTATAGCTTTCGTTTTACACAGGAGGTGTACTCATCTTCCAGGTATTTTCGTGTTCGAGTACATAACTTCACGTTGGGAGCAAAGAACTATGTCATACACATTACCATCAATTGCCTGTGCTCTCAGTGTTGACCAAGAGAATAGCAAAACAGTCTGAGTTATTTCAATTTGAATCATCGACTTAAAGTTAGACAGTTTACTTCCCTTTCTGTCTACACTACAGGGGAATGGTTAGGTGTGTGATTGATTTGTGATCAACTTGTTTATTGACCGTTTGAGTTATGAATCCGATTACTTTCCACCGGGTGATAAGAATGACATTTTACTGGTTACCATATCTTATGTATAATATTTATGACTCATAGTTGAACGCATCACTCTCTATCCACTTGCTGAGTATCGCATTCATTCGCTTAGCTTAATATGTTACTGTACAAACAGTTAGCGACTTAAATGTTTCAGTGTTGATCTGGTAACATTTAGACATCTTGTAGGTAGTAGATAGCGTCGGTGGCACAGTGGTTAGGACTCTCGCCGACCATGCACATGGTCCGGGTTCGAGCCCGCACCGACGCACACCTGATATCTATGGTCGGCTGCAAAATTTGGGCTACCGATATCCATGCCGAAAATTCCATACTTGTACCGAAAATACAGTGTGAATCAAGCTGTAAATCAAAAAAAACTATCACGCTTAATATTCGGTGATTGATGAAATGGTTTTTCTACCATCTACAGAATACTTTCTTAGTTGTTGTTAAAGCCTTGAAAATGTTTTAATTTTTGTTTCAGTAATAAGATGGATGCGTGGTACGTTAACAGCAGGCGAATAATATATATATTTATATATGTATATTCACTGAGAGCTATGCAGACTAAGTTTTGAGGCATAACACCGTAATTGGTTTCTATTTGAATAATTAAAGGCTATAATAACATGAAAGTAACTAGTAGACTGGTGTCTGTTTTACTGTTTTCATCTATTTTAATTCTAACCGCTTTAACCACATAAGCGATTTCTTTCGGTGTTATTCAATTCATCTATGACATATTTATCATGTTCGCCCTAATATTCTCAATAACTATACCATGAACTGTTGCTTTAATACAAATTCCACCTATAAGCGTCTCATGAATTCATCCTCTATACTGTACTAACATATTCACAGTTACCAGTTTATATCACGAAGTGTTAATCGAGTCCCATTCATTACACATTCACTTGAAATACATACTTGGTGATCTGATATGCTTGAGTTTATGATTTTATTCTGTAGCAAAGTGGAGGATGATGTTAACAAGTTCGTTTTCTGAAGATACTCTGTGGTACAGACTGGGAGATTAGTTTATCCACTTGACTGTAGTCAAGTAAACATATTGATGATTTTAGCTACCTATCTAACTGATATAATATTTAGATTAATTTTGTAGATTTATTCAGAGTTTTATTGATTTCGTGAAATACATGACAGGAGAAGTTGAACAGGTGATGGCAGGTGGTTAATTCATCCATTCTTTCTGATTGTCGTTTAATCAGTCAATCCTTGTATCTCTTGAATGCATAGCTTCAGCTATTCAAGCACTATGAAATGATTTATCGATGCTTATTCATTTACTAGTTTTTCGCTATTAAGTTAACAGGAACTCCTGTTTCAGAATAGATTGAAGATGAAGAGGTGACGGATATTTCAACTGAGATCGAGAACTTTGGTCCAATCAATTGACGGGTAAATCTAAAATTCAATTAAATAATTAAAATGACCCGTTGCACAAGAAGTGGCTCTCGTGGCCCAAGTGGTCTAGTGGATAACGCTTTGGCTTGTGTTTGAAACTATGAGCACTGGGTTCGAGCCCCGGTGGGAACATCATCATTCATTGAGAAATGCAGGTACATCCAGATGACAAGTCCCAAATAGGACGAAATGCGCATCCTGGATTCCACTGCTAGTTACCACCCACCCATTAAATAACAATATATAAGTGTTTATTTACAGATTATGAGAATGAGGTGTAAAGTGATCACATTACTTATGCATCTTTTAACTCAACTGATTATTACAAAAACATTCTTTAATTAATTATCATTTACTAAGGATTACTTCATTTTCACACAACAGGCATTGTAAATTACACTGTGATTGACACAGCATCATTCATAGTCGCATTTCCAAAACACTTGAGATAATTTTCAATCTAACAAATAATCTATTCACTCATCTGAATTATATAGCTTACTAGTTCAACGTATACCTATCCAACAACTCACAGGTGTTTTCCGTGGTTGTAGTTCCAACTGTAATGTTCGAAATTGTTTCCTAAAAAGTCTGGAATCGAATAGTTACATCCATGGAGAATGGGCGTAAATTCACTGAACAAAATGAATGTTTATTAATTAAAGTACCGCCCATAGAAACCAAAATGAAATGATGGATAGACGTATTTAATTGAATTATGATTAGATAAACCATGAGTGAAAACCGATAGACAAGCTTCAGCTAAAATATTTTACTGGATGGTAGTAGCGCGAAGAAGCATATGATTGCAGTGTTTTGTGGGTTTATTACATAGTTGACGGAGTCCAAAATGTGTGTTGAACTATTGGGTTTTGGCACTCCCACCTAACTAAATAATTGGCTATTATCATAGACCACTAGACTTTACAGACCAGTGGCCCACTCATTTCACTGGGTTGATTAATTTTCATCCAGTATAGTAAATCAAGGTCACAACAGTTGATTTTGTACTGCTCA